GCAACGAAAGCACAGGCAGACAACAAACGCAGGGAGGTGACTTTTATGGAAGGAGAATGGGTATATGTTAAGCTAAAGCCATATCGCCAAATGTCGATCACATCGCGTATTCACCAAAAACTTGCTGCTCGTTTTTTTGGGCCTTTTAAAGTTTTGGAAGGAATGGGACCGGTGGCATATCGTTTGGATTTGCCCCCCACTTCGAAGGTCCATTCCGTCTTCCATGTCTCGCTACTTAAGAAAGCTGTCCGGGCGGAAAGCGAGCAAGTGTTACCCCAAGAATTGGAAATCGGCAGTGATGATCAACTTATTCCAGTGGCAATTTTGGCTTTCTCGTACAGTAAAGGTTTTCCATGACTCTGTTGACCAATGGCTCATTCAGTGGAAGGGTTTGCCAATAGAAGAGGCTACATGGGAGGATGTCACATCGATTCAGAGTCAATTTCCTGATACAAGTCTTGAGGACAAGACTTTATTCGATGGCGGGAGTAGTGTTACGAAATCAGAAGTTATGCAGTGCAGTCTATTGTGAATAAGCCAGTAGAGTGGAAAGTCTATTCTAGAAGGGCTAAAGGGGTAACTTTGGAAAGTGGCTAGAAAGTTGTTATTTGTCTCTTTTTAAAGGGAAGGGGGGATACGTTTCTATGCATGTCATTTTCTGCTTTTTGTTATATTGGCTCTTTGCATGTTGCATTGAGAGAGGGATTCTCCCTGGAAATCGTTCTGTATTTTCTGTTTGATCATAATTCCATCAGCTTCCTTTCCCTTAAACCTTCTCTATCTTCTTCTTCATATTCCGTTCTCTATCAGATTCTTTTTCCATGAATCCCAGTACAGAATTAAGTTGGCATTCATGATTAAGTTGTTTGCATTAATAAAATAGAGTTTGTCCTAAATATACAGTGTGAATGACACAAATTACGATTTTAACCCGCAACAACATATTATCAATTTTTATTTTTGTAAAACAAAATTTATGAACTTGACAACATTGATCAAATTTAATAAATCTGGATAAACTATTAAAATTAACAATAAAAGGGAACTTCTTTGTCTGTCGCCTGACGGGAAAAGCAGCAGCAGCGGAGGGAGAAAAAAGGCAGAGCAAAGATGGAGCATATTCAGGGCCCAGAGAGAGAGAGAGAGAGTGTGTAAGTGTGTTTTTGTTTCTGCTTTCCTTTTGAAATAGGGGCAAAAATAGTTGGACCAAGAAAGGGGGAAAAGGAGAGAGTATTTTGGGGGAAAATTAGCTAAATAGGCAAAGGCACCATGAGTTGACTGATTGAATTAAGCCCAGCCCTGAGCTTACCATTAATTTGTAATCAAACAACTCTGTAATGAATTAAGTTCTAAGCTAATTAAGCCAAAATCAAACACCCCCTAACATTGAAACCAATGGATTTTCCTATTAAGTGCATTCATAATTTCTACATTTGTCTATTCAATGAAGCATATAGTCGTATACCAATATTATAGTTTTCCCTTAGTTAACTGACAGACCCTTGGTAGGAATTAGAGTCTTGATGGGAGACCCCATTTCTTAAACAAAAAAAAAATAATGATGTACTACCATAGTCTAGCAATGAGTTGATAATATCCGGCATCAATTAAGAGCATAATGGTATTGATAACTCTCAGAAATAGATTTATCATGTTGTGCCTACTTTACTGTGGTTTATCTTTCTTTTATTCTTTATTTCTCTGGAAATGAGTAGTATTCTGGGTAAAGTCTATGGAGCAAGAAGGTAACCACAATCACAAAATTGTGGCCTCCAACTTATCTGTCTACTGATAATGTGAGTTGGAGAACAAAAACCTCAAGCAAAGTTGAAGTGTTTAGTCCTAACTCCTAACCCAATGATAAAAACGATGATTGAAGTAAAGAGAACCAACTTGTGTACAAATCAGATAGTAGGTTGTGCTTTTTGAAAGTCAACCCTGTGAAAATCAGAGAAAGGAGACTTTCCCTTATAAAAAGAAGCCATGCTTTTGACCTAGAGGTTGTCAACCGCATGACCTACAACTGATGAATGATCATGGTACCTGCTCCTTATTTTTTGGGTAATATAAATAGAGGTCGAAGGTGTTGATTTTGGTAACAAAAAGAATTTGCATTTAATTTCTACACCCTGGACGTTATTTATTATGTTCTACACTTTCTGATCATATTTTCATTATCCTCGCATCAATGGCCAAAAAACAATGGACCTACTCGTGGGCATGTTTGCATTATTTGGGTATTCAGAATGTCCTATACCTGAAGTGTACAATCTCTTGTTGATATCAATATATTTGTTTTCAACTTTTGCATCAATTACTACATGGAATATAAACTATATTACTTTAGGAGTAGTCCATCCATTCCAGAAATAAGACGCATATCTTGCCTATTAAAACTTAAGGCTAAAAATATATGTCCAACTCAAAAGCGTTGATATGTGTTGGTTCATACACTCAACGTATGAGTTGTATTTCTATGATGTCAAATTACTAGTTTTTAACACCCCTCCCCTTCCACGTGTAGCTCCTTGTAAGAACTCCTGCCACATTGATAGAAAAGCATATTTGTGAGCTCCTTACAAGTTCAAAGTTGTAGGCTACCAATAACTTCTATCATGGTTGTATGTTAATTTAGAGGTTATTGGGTCAGCTTGCTGCTTTGGGATGTTGAGGCAAACCTCAAGCATGATGAGTCCTCGAGGGGGGTGTTTGTAACATCTTAGGCAAATTTCACATCACCGACTACAAGGAGGATTCTAAGAAGGCCTAACAAGGACGTCAAGAAATTTAAGTAAGGGAGTATGTAACAACCCGTCGCAAGCTTGAGTAACGCAAACATTGGTGAGAATCCAATGCCCTGAAAGCCTAAGAGTTCTTCCGCAAGGTTCATCCACAGAGGGTGACTCGGGGCCTAAGATCAGGTCGAAAGGCGTAGTCGATGGACAACAATAGGAAGTAGATTTGTGAGTTCCTTATAAGTTAAAATGTGTAGATTAACAACTTCCACCATGTTTTTAAGTTGATTCGAAGGTTATTGGGTCAGTTTGTTGCTTTGGACTATGAGACGTTACACTCAGCAAGGCTAACACATTAAAAGACATTTGGTAGCTGACAGTGTAAGGGCATATAAATATGCATGTGAGAGTATTGGTCTAGTCCCATAGCAAATGTTTGCATTCCAACTGAAGATCAATCGACTATGAATCATAAGTTTTATTTCCCAAACATGAGATTTGCGTGGGTTAAGAATTAAATTCAAAATTGATAAAAGTTTTGGATAAACAATGAACTTTGTAACAAAGTAGCTCCTACAACATACACAAAATGGTAATTTATGCGTTTATTATGCTCCTGGAAATCCAGAATTAATACTATATGAATGGTGGATTGATTATCAAAGTATAGTCACATTAACTTGTTTCAAAGAACTCCTGACTCATGATCAATGACCTAAGCAGTTAACGCAGTCGATTGCGGAAATCGCAGTCGGGACCGGGATATGCAATTATGGTTGTCGCGGTGGTAAAGCAGTGGTATAGTGGTAAAAGATTAGGTTCATAAAATAAATATGAATATATATATATATATATATGTGTGTGTGTGTGTGTGTTTAACTTAATATATTGTATCCCTATAAAAATAAATACCCACGCAAAAATGATAACCAAGCTCAACTTAAATGGTTAAACAACAAAGTCAGAAACCATTAGGTACTGAAACAGAAACCATCCAGAAAAGGCGTCCAATTCCAAAGTCCAAAATTCCACCAATTAGGGACTGAAACAGAAAGTCAGAAACCGTTACCTGATAGTAAGTGTTAGTGTTCAAAAGTAGAAGGAACAGTGGAAGGAATAGTAGAAGGAACCGATAAAATCACAATCGAACAGGACTGTGGAATCGAGCAGGAATCAAACAAGATATGGAATCGTTTTGGACTTTGGAACCGATGACCACAGTTTCGGACTGTGGGATCGATAATCGTTGCTTTTGTTGATAGGCCAACTAAGAGTCTAAGTACCCCACACAAAACAGAAGCCACCCAAAATAGAACCACGTTAAATTTTATGAAAGAAGTCCAAAATAACCCCAAAAGAAAATATAGTAATTGCGGCCCCTATTTGGGGTTCAAAATTGCTGTGATTAGCAGTAATTGCGGCCGCTATTTGTGGTACCGATATAATGCACCGCTATTTTATGTACCACCGCTAACCGCTATAGCACCGTTATAGCATGCAATTAACTGCATGGCCAATAACACAAGATAAAATGAAGGGATTATCTAAAACACTTTGTACCCGACTGAGAGTAGTGTTGATGGCGGTTGTAGTAAGTAGGGGGATTAACATTTTAGCTATCAAATCATCAACTATAATAACATGTAAGCATTTAAAATTCATAATTGATGTTTATTTCCAATGGTGTACTTGCCAAAATCGTAAGTTTTGTGGTTCAAACCAATTCATGCAGCAAAGGGAATGAATCCAATAAACAAATTGGAATCTCGTCCGAATAATTGCCATCATATTAGTGAATCTCCGTAATGTTGGCATACAATATTATACACATGTTTCAACTTTCACCAAATCATTTTAAAACATATTATTATTATTATAAATTTTCTGTGTAGATTTTACTGATCTAAACATACTAGTAGTGATGAATAAAAATCCTTTTGTTGGTATTTTGCAAAGTGGAAGAGAGCAAATTATGGGACAAGCTAAAGTTCGCATGACTGATACAGGTATAGTTTGGTTTATATCACAGCAATGACTACTTTGTCTTTTATATTTGTACATATATTAAGGTTTATAATTGGTTGGACCAAGTGGAAATTACACATTTTTTTGATTAGATGCAAGTATTTTATATCACCTCTTCGTCATATCCAGATGTGAAGTTTCTTTGACTCATGATCAATCATGCAGATGTCACGTAATTAGCGGCTATAATTCCATGTTATAAGTATATTCAAGTATATGAAGTGGAAGGCACAATCTAACCCTTGGATTTTGACTGTTGACGCCTCCTTGATCTGCTGGAATTTAAGCTAGCAAGATCCTATAGCACATCCAATTATGAGTGAGAAACCCAAGTAACCCAATGTCTTCAAATTACTAGTGTAAACTAATACCTGCTCCAGAGATTTCTTCAAAATATCATCATGATTGAAATTGTTTTCTACTAGGATCTGTCAGTTGAACAAAATTCAATTAGTATACCACAAACAACGCTTGAACTAGAAGTCAAAAGTCCACCAGATGTTGACTTACATTCTTAAACTCAGCACGAGATCTATTAATGTCTACATATTTGCTGCAGATACAAAAGGACGAGTCACACCAAGCCAAATTGCAAAAATAAGTGAAAAAGGAGGAAAAGAAATAAGTCAGATATACTCACTATACATAACTTCCATACAACCGAACAAGAACATCACTGCTTGATCCTTTACTGCTAGTGCTGGGTTTATTGGCTGAACTTACAGAATTCTCATCAACAACCTGCAACAAAAATTAGTAAATGAAACTAGCAAGCTTATCATACACATATATTTACACCATCAAAAGTTCGAAACTGTGTACTACAATACTCCCACCATACCAAGGAAACAAGTATATTTTGACTTTAAAGTCAAACGGACTATGTTCAACTTCAAGCTTCTTCTTTGAGTTTTAGAGGGTAATTTTTTGATAAGTAGATACACTTATAACATAGTCCATGGAACAAAGCATTGATGCTAATTTGCAACAAATCCTATTTCAATTACTCTTTAGAAAGTGACAAGTTTGACCAAAAAAATCAAAGTCTGCCTCTTTTCCTGGAACAGAGGAAGTGCTATAAATTGCCTAACAATGAAGCCCCTGTCTGCAGCTTGTCACAAACCTGTGCAGGCCACCATGAAGCTTCATGGAGCTTAACCCATATTAGGTCCGCAAAGATAACCTCCTTGGTTGGTTGACCATTCACAGTTTCCTTCCCAGCTTTGCTCGGAACCAGACTTCCATTGGTTTCGCCTGTTACACCTTCCATAACTTATCTCTCGACTTTGAATGATTTCAATTTGACAATAAAGCATGTCAGAAGATGAGTCAAAATTCCAAGTAGGTTGACTTTGGATAAACTCATTAACAATATTTTCACATTTAGATAACGTCATAATTAACACATAATGAATGAACTGAATAAAATGTTCCACTAAGATATAAATAAAAAATACAGGAGTACATTTGCTTTGCAAAAAAAGAAAGAAAAGAAAAGTTTGTGGATGTTACTGCCTATATTTTGCATATTATTTGTATAATTCTCCATCCTCTTTTCTAACAAGCCCATGACCCTTCATGTCAGGATCAGACATATATATGATTCAAGTCTAGAACTTGAATGCCTTTTGCCAATTTACACCGAAGTGATTCTATCTGTAGAAAGAATTTGACAGTGGATTCAGATTGAGGAATGGCCGGCGTATGGAGCAACTTCAGACTCAACTATCATATAAAGGTTCCACCTTAGCTACAAAAACATAACTTTCCCTCTCTTCTTTTTGAGTACACATTGTCCCGACACAATTAGTCGATTACAGGTAAATATATTCTAAAAGCAAACATATACACCTAAAATGATAGGCATCTCGATTGTAAGATTCCATTCAGAAAGCAAAAAATGCAAATGCCATCAGCGAGTCAGAATCCTGTCGGAATCACCATCATATTGCAAAATCAAATTGTATTACACCATTCTATAGAATTTACCCTGTATTTCTAACTTGTTTATGTTATTTTTTGATGAATCCTGAGGATATTAATCTAAAATTTCCTTTCAGCCACAAAAACAGAAAGGTAAAACAAATGGTTCGATAAACAAGACCATGCTCTCATATAAAATGTTCTCATATAATCACTAGAATGCTTAATAATCACACGCATATTGTTCTAAAAAGATTAATGAAATTCTGCATAAACACATTCCTCAGACACACAAAATGTGCCCTAATTAGGGCAAAATCAGTGGCACAGATAACAAATAATCGAAGAAGGATGTGCTTAAGAAAGCAAAAGATTTGAATTTACTTACAAACGAGGAGAAAAAACGGAGAGGCGATAGAGCAACAGTCTACTGAACTGCAACGTTAGCGACGCTGCTACTGTTGTCCATTTTTGTCAGTGATGCATTTCTTTATTGTTCACAGCTCCCAACTGAGCACTGATCTCACGGTCACGCCTCCTTAATCAACCACTTATTTTTCACTTAAATATTCAAAAAATTTAAATTACCAAAAAGATCTCATAAAATTTATATTTTAAAAAGAGGTGGGTTAAATGCATCCCTATCCATGAATTTCTCTCTTACATACATCAACATCAATACATGCTTTTTATATTCTTAATGCTTGAATGACCCGATTCTAACATGAAAAAGGGTGCCATTAGCACTCCCCTTTAAAAAATGGCCTTTAATTTAACACTAGACGCTACTTGATGCATTCGAGGATTTTTTTGTAAAAAAATTATTTTCAAATGTGATGACGTAACCTCTTTAATGTGACGATGATTGATGGTTTAACATTGGTTGATACTTAGTAAGTAAATATTTTAATATAAATAATCATATTTATTTATTATTATTATTATATTTTATTAAAACTTAATGATTGTAATACATAATTATTTTCTATAATTAATAAATGTTATTATATGATCTTTCGCATAATTTATTTAAAAAGGTATTTTTAAATTAGAGTGACTAATTTAATTATAAATATTACATTAATTTTGTATAATTATTATAGATATTGTTTAATATTTTGTATTAAGTTTAGTAGTTTACTTATTTTTTTTGTTTGTAAATTATATACATTGTAATACTTTAAATTTTTATTATAAAAATTAAAAAATAACATAAACAAAAACGTGGGTTTTTTTTTAATTAACTTGAATATACAACCCGTTATGCGAGCCGATTAATCTCAGAACGACCACCTGCTATGCAGATAGCCCGGAGTTATCGTATTTGAACCTCCGTGTCCAAAAGAGAATTTTTATTCCTTTTTGGATTTGAATCTGGGAACTCCTTATACTTTTGACCTTTGGAGCCAAGCTCAAATCAATCAGTCACCATCCTTGTGGTTTTGTTTTTTTCTTATAATGTTGATTAACGAAATTTAAATATACTTATATAAAACATTTGTATAATAATGAAATATTTAACAAGCTATAATTTTGTAATAAAAAATACACATTATTAGCTTTTTAATGTAATACTTCTAATTAAAAAAAATACTTTTTTAATTAAATTATATGAAAAATCATGTAATAATATTTATTAATTATAGAAAATAATATTTTTTATTAACCCAGATATCTAACCCGCTATGCGAGCCGACTAATTCCAAGGTGACCACCTGCTTTGTAGGTAGTCCAGTAACAGCCCGGAGTTACAGCATCTGAACCTCCGTGGTCATAAGAGGATTTTTGTTCTTTCTTAAATTTGAACATGGGACCTCCAGGAACTTTTAAACTTTGGAGCCAAACTCAAACCAATCAGGTCTCATCCTTGTGGTTAATTATAAAAAATAATTATAGATTATTGTAACACCCTCATCCTACTAGACCTAAGATGAGACTTGACACAACCAAAAACAAATAGATCAAAGTATAGAGCTTTAAATAACTCCCAAAAGATTACATTACAACCAAATAACATTCATATGTTTAACATATTTACATAGCAAAAGTACTGATCTAATACTATTTCATTTTGCATCTTAAGCCATCTCGACCGTTCATACTGCCCCCGGGTTAGATCTTGAACATGCCGAGGTAAAACAAAACAAACCTCGGTTGAGCAAAATTTGCCCAGTGAACGAATATAACATTATAAATACAAGATAAATTAGTAAATGCAAGAAGACGTTACGATAAAAGTTGAAATGAATTTAAGTGTAAATATCTAAAATTGAAGCTTATATAAAAAAAATCAAGGTAAGAAGGTCATCCGTATCATTAGGATACGTTGTTCCCGGTCGATGATCAGTCCAATCAAACGTCGTAATGGAATGGAAGTGTTGGGCACCACACCATCTCATTCCCCGGTAGCCAAAGATATATGGTATGCGGTTCTATCTGGTAACCAATGTAATTGGTATTCGGCTCTATCCGGTAACCATGATACATGGTATTCGATTCAAGGATGCATCCAACATTCTCTGTTTGGCTTGGCCATAACCCTTATAAGAATGTCATGACTATTTTAGCCATCATGGAGGCGTCTCAATACTTGTGCCCCGAATACTGAGCCAAGTCAATAATAATTCAATAACCTTAAACTCAAACTCCTTAATCGTATCAATAATTTAACATGGGATAACTAGAATAATAAAACCATGAAGCTTTCAAATTAATTTATCGACAAGAATCATAGAATACACAGTTAATGGATCGAAGTCTCAAGCATACAAAGTCTTTAAAACAAGACATCCCATAAACACAAAAGATTCCGGATAACATCTTGATAACCTGCACTTTTGTGGATGAATACCATGATCAAGATTCCGTGGAATGGATAATCACTACATTTGATTACCCACGTATTGAAAGAATGTAGATATTCGTACATTGGACGTGTTAGAAATTGTCACAAGAGACTTGAGGCTTATGAACGGTTCTCTCATTCCGGGTTACCTATTATTAGAAAAAAAAATATCTTTAAACGACTTTCGGTAACAATTCTTATCAATTTCAAGTTCCTACAAGCCCTTATAGTTAAAAAGATCCTACGGACCTTCAAATATGCTAAAAATACCCTTATGACACTTAATAAACACTCAATACAATTAATAGAACCCTAAACAAAATTTGTAAAAATCCAATCTCTACATATCAAAACAGTAGCTAACAGATTCTTAACACCTAAAGTTTAAGCCTTTTTCTCATACTTAGAAGATAAACCAAACTATCATGTAAAAATGAAAGTTGTAGATATAGCTCTTAGGATTTCAAAGAAACTAGATTCACATAACTTGGAGCTATGGTATAATTATTACAGAATTTACACTAACAGAGTGAAATTTTGAAGCTGTAGAACAGGGCTGGGAAAACCAATGTTTTCGAGTTGCTTTAAATTCAAAACTAGATTTTGGTGTAAACTATAAAGTTGTAGTACATTCATATATCTTTCTGTTTATATAAATAATATCTCATTTGGCCAAATGATTGATTTTATACGAATTTTGAAACTTATTGAATTAAATCTGTCACTTTCAATAGCACCAATCTTGAAGAAATTCCACCTCAAATCATCAATCTTTCACCTATATTCATGAATACATTTAGGGTTCAACCTATTTTCTCCAAAGAAGAATAAATCACAAAAAAAATCAAACCATAAACATACCTTATTTTGAGTCCTAATTCCAAATATAATCTACAGTCTTCAAAGATCTTGGAATTCCACAAAAGATTTATGGTTTATAGATGAACTTTAGGGTTTCTAGAAAGAAGGAGGAGAAAACCATATGAATTTTAAGAGAAAATTTGATTTTGGGTTTAAAAAAAAATAATTTCATATTTATATTTACAATATTTACCATCTAACCCTTGATCTTAAACTTATTCTCAAATTAACCCTACTTTAGCAATTCCTTTACAATTTGGTCCTAACCAAGATTGTTTCAACCAACAATGGAACTTTAAAAATTATAAAATGAACTTGCCTTAATGAACAACTCTTGAATACTAAGATACAAGTCAACAAAGCACCATTTCAAAAATTAAACATAATTGGGCTTTCGGCTATAAGATTAGATTTTCTAAATACAGGTATTATTATTCTTCCTCCCTTAAAAAGATTTCGTCCCTGAAATCGAGTTAGAGTTATGAATTTATATACCTTCAAAAAGTTGTGGGAACTGCTTTTTCATTGATTCCTCTGTCTCCCATGTCGCTTCACTTTCAGAATGATTTTTCCATAAGACTTTAACGAATGGAATTGATCGATGATGCAGTTTTCTTTCTTCACGTCCGATAATAGCTTTGGGTTCCTCAACATAAGATAAAATCTGGTTCAATCTTGTCAAGCGGATAATCAATGACATGCAATGGATGATATCGGTAACAGCGGATTGTCGACACATGAAAAACATTATGAATATGAGTCAACTGGGGAGGTAACGCGAGACGATATGCTCCTTCACCACTCGCTCTAGAACTTCAAAGGGTCCAATATAACGTGGACTGAGCTTTCCTTTAACTCCAAAATGACGTGTACCCCGTAATGGAGAAACTTTAAGGAAAACATAATCACTTGGATGAAATTCCAATGCTATACGATGTCGGTCTGCATAACTCTTTTGGCGTGATTGAGCCTCTTTCATTTTCTTACGGGCGACCTCAACTTTTTCAGTTGTGATTTGAACTAATTCAGGTCCTTCAATTGCCCGTTCGTCTACTTCATTCCAGCATGTAGGTGTTCGACATTTATGACCATAGAGAGCTTCATATGGAGTCATACCAATATTGGATTGATAACTGTTATTGTATGAAAATTCGACCCGATAAAGATATTCATCCCAACTTCCAGACCATTCTAAAACGCAAGCACGAAGCATATCTTCGAGGGTTTGTATCGTTCGTTCAATTTGTCTGTCCGTTTGAGGTTGAAAAACTAAACTCATATTAAATCGTGTTCCCCAGGCTTGGTGAAGACCCTTTCAAAACCGTGAGGTAAATCGTGGATCTCTAACAGATGTAATTGAGACAGGAGTGCCATGAAGTCTGATGATCTATTTCTGAAATAATTCAGACAACTGGTTGACTTGAAAAGTTTCACGAATAGCTAAGAAATGTGCAGACTTAGACAAACGGTCCACAATTACCCAAATTGCATCATGACGTTTCTGAGTCTTTGGTAGACCTGTAACAAAGTCCATAGAGATGTGCTCCCATTTCTAGATAGGTATCTCTAAAGGTTGTAAAAGACCGCTGACTCTTTGATGCTCATTTTTGACCTTCTGATAGGTCAAACACTTTACAACATAATCAACAATGTTTCTCTTCATCACGTCCAACCAGAAATATTGTTTCAAATCACGGTACATTTTGGTAGAACTTGGATGAATTGAAAAAAAAGAATTACGCGCTTCATTCAATACAGCTTCTTTTAGGTCGGGATCATCAGGTACACACAAACGATCCTGGAACCAAACTATTCCTTGGTCATCAACTCGAAATTCAAAACTCAGATCATTTTCAATTTTCTATACAAGAGACCATATGACACCATCATTTTGTTGGGCCTTTTTAATTCTTGAAATCAAATATGGCTCTACCGAAAGGCTAGCCAAAGTCAAGTTATTAGAATTTGGATAGATATCAGTACTCAACTTCTCAAAATCGGAAATCAAGTGTGGCTAAACCAAATAACAAGAAACAGACCCTACATTTTTTCGACTTAATGCATCTACCACTGCATTCGCTTTGCCCAGATGATAGTGGATTTGAACATCGTAGTCCTTCAAAAGTTCCAACCAACGCCTTTGATGCATATTGATCTCTTTTTTGAGAGAAGATGTACTTCAAAATCTTGTGATCAGTAAAATGTCACAAGATTATCCATACAAGTAATGGTGCCATATTTTAAGTGCAAAGATAACTGCAGCCAACTCCAAGTCATGAGTAGGATAATTTACCTCGTACGACTTTAGCTGTCGTGTTGCATACGCTATAACCTTTCCATTTTGCATAAGTACACATCCAAGGCCGATTCGGGAGGCATCACTATAAATCTGAAAACCACCTGACCCAGATGGTAAAGATAAGACTGAAGCTATGATCAATCGTTGCTTCAGAATTTCAAAACTCTGCTGTTGATCCGGACCCCATTCAAATTTAACTCCTTTTCGAAGGAGTTTAGTTAAAGACAATGCAATCTGAGAGAAGTTTTCTACAAAGCATTGATAATATCCTACCAAGCCTAGAAAACTCTGAATTTCAGATATATTGGTTGGTCTCGGCCAATTAGCCACAACCTCGACTTTGGCAGAGTCGACCTTAATGCCATCAGCAGATATAATATGACCAAAAAAGAGACTTGATCTAACCAAAATCAACATTTAGAGACTTTAGCATATAACTGCTTCTCTCGAAGAATACCCAAGGCAATACGAAGATGCTCAGCATGATCAACTTTAGACTTAGAATAAATCAAAATATCATCTATGAAGACTATAATGAACTCGTCTAAATAATCATTAAAGACTCGATTCATTAAGTCCATGAAAACAGTAGGGTCATTAGTTAACCTAAATGGCATGACAACGAATTCAAAATGGCCATACCAGGTCTAAAAGCTGTTTTAACGTATTGTCACCTTGTTTAACTCACGGTAATCGATACATAGCCTCATTGACCCGTCTTTCTTTTTCACAAAAAGAACCGGTGCTCCCCATGGTGATACACTGGAACGTATGTATCGCTTATTCATCAAATCATGAATCTGCTCCTTTAGCTCTTTCATTTCTGATGGAGCCATTCGATGCAGTTGTTTCGATATTGGAGCTGCTCCCAGAATTAAGTCAATGGTGAAATCCAATTCTCTAGAGGAGGTAGTCCAGGAATTTCATCCGGAAACACGTTGGAAAATTCATTCACTACAAGAATAGATCTAAGTTCAAGCGGTACCTCATCGGGGTCTTGTAGTGCTGCAAAGAAGCCTTCAGATCCTTGCCATGCAAAATATCCAATTGAAAAAGAAGATACGACTCTGGTTCCCTGCTTTGGTTCAACTTCCTGATAGATGCTATCAGGTTGGCTCAAATCTCTGAAGATGACTCTCTTCGTATCGCATTCAATGGTTGATCGATGTTTGGACAACCAATCCATGCCAATAATGAGATCAAAATATTTCATATACATAGGAAGTAGATTCACTTCCCGGACACAATCGGCTATTAGAAGAGGAAAATTTACAAATTCAGACAAAATGCAAACCGAATTACCCATTGGAGTAGTAATATGCAGTGGAGTCTCGGTTAAATTCTCAAAAGGTCTCAAATGGTCCTCTAAAGTATTGGACACAATTGAGTGAGTTGCACCCGTATCAAATAGTACATACACAGATATTACACATAAACTAAGCGTACCAGATACCATACCTGCAGAAGATTTGTCAGCATGCAAAGCAAAAACCCATCCACCAGTTGTAGACTGCTTTCCTTTCTCAGTCACCTTGTCTTTCTGACCCTGTTTACAGTCTCGGGCCAAATGTCCTTTCTGTCCGCAACGGTAACATGCCGCGGTCATTCGTTGATACGAACCTGGTCGAAGTGTAATACCGCATTCTTTGCACTTCTGGGGAGGTTTGGTATTAAAGGAGTCTTTACTAGATGCTTCTTGAGAAGATACTGGTGCTCTAAAATTAGAAGATTTTCCTGAGACTAAGCGACCCGGAGATCTGATATCTGTACTACTGAATCGCACATCACGACCACGTTTCTTTCTAGAATCTGATTTCAAAGTATAACTTTTTTGTCGAGCCCGATCAATGTTTCTCGCTGCGTCTGCAACCTGACTAACTGAAGTGAATTGATGGTTCAAAATTTGAGTTTTGTATCGATGGCTAAGAGTCCACTTGAACTTGTCAACCTGGTGTTGTGTAGTTACTGTCGTGATTCCGGCAAACCGTGCTAATCGTAGAAATCGAATATGATAATCGACAATGGATTCATTCTTCTGTTGTTGAATAGTAGTGTACTCCCGGATATACACATCCTTGTCGGCTGTTGTGAAGCAATATTGGAAGAAAATTTCTTTAAACTGATTCCAAGTGAGAGTTTCAGCTATTGGATTGCTTTGAGTCCAAGACTCCCACCAGATATGGGCATCGTCCTCGATTTTATATGAAGCCAACTTTACTTTATACTGCTCTTGACAACCTAGAACCTTGAAAATTTTCTCCAAATATCGGATCCAATTCTCTGCATCTATAGGATTAGTGACAGAAGAAAATATTCGGGGTTTTAGTTTATTAAAACGCTCGAGCCAAACATGAATTTCAGACTGATTAATTTCTTGACCTTGAACTCCAGATTCAGTATTTATAGGAGGTACTACATTTGTCTGACGAAGAGCCTCTACTGTTTGAGCTACTATAGAAGGGATCATATTCAGAACAACTTGTTGGATAGTCGCCGATAAATTTGGATCAGCTAGATGTGGAGGGGAGGGAGGAGGAGGAGGAAAAGTTTCATCATGTTGTTCTGTTTGATTTCTCTGGGGCCTACCCTTTGTCTCGGTTGGTTACTAGGCAACATGAATACTGATACAAGGAAGATTTGATCAGATAAAAAAAAGTTCTAATTATAAAAGGCAATAGAGTAAGTTTACGGATCTTAATAATTAGGTACATATATACAAATAAGCGAAAGCAATAAGATTCTAGTACTATCCGTCTGATTCTACCTAGTCTCACTGGTCAACCTAGAGTACTACCAGATCAAGACCTATAGCTCTGATACCATAATTTGTAACACCCCCATCCTACTAGACCTAAGATGAGGCGTGACACAACAAAAAACGGATCAAAAATATATAGATCAAAGTATAGAGCTTTAACATAACTCCCAAAAGATTACATTACAACCAAATAATATTCATATGTTTAACATATTTACATAACAAAAGTACTGATATAAAACTATTCTTTCTGCATCCTAAGCCATCTCGACCGTTCATGCTGACCCCGGGTTAGATCTTGAACATGACGAGGTAAAACAAAACAAACCTCGGCTGAGCAAAATTTGCCCAGTGAACGAATAATAACATTATAAATACAAGATAAAATAGTAATACAAGAAGACGTTACGATAAAAGTTTTTTTTTATTAACCTAGATATCCAACCCGCTATGCGAGCCGACTAATCCCAGTGCAACCACCTACTTTGCAGATAGCCGGGAGTCACCGCATTTGAACCTCCGTGGCCACAATTGATTTTTATTCCTCTTTAGATTTGAACCTGGGACCTCCAGGTATATTTGACTTTTGGAGCCAAGCTCAAACCAATTAGGCACCACCCTTGTGGTTCGTTACGATAAAAGTTGAAATGGATGTAAGTGTAAATATCTAAAATTGAAGCTTATATATTAAATAAAAAAAATCAAGGTAAGAAGGTCATCCGTATCATTAGTATACGTTGTTCCCGATGGATGATCAGTCCAATCAGGCTTCGTAATGGAATGGAAGTGTTGGGCACCACACCATCTCATTCCCCGGTAACCAGATATATGGTATTCGATTCTATCTGGTAACCAATGTAATTGGCTCTATTCGATAACCAAGGTACATGGTATTCAGTTCAAGGATGCATCCAACATTCTCTATTTGGCTTGGCCATAACCCTTATGAGAATGCCATAACTATTTTAGCCATCATGGAGGCGTCTCAATATCTGTTCCCCGAGTACTAAGCCTAGTCAAAACTAAATTCAATAACCGTAAACTCAAACTCCTTAATCGTATCAATAATTTAACATGGGATAACTATAATAATAAACCATGAAGCTTTCAAATTAATTTATCGGCAAGAATCATAGAATTCACCGTTAATGGATCGAAGTCTCAAGCATACAAAGTCTTTAAAACAAGACATCCCATAAACACAAAAGATTTCGGATAACATCTTGATAACCTCCACTTTTGTGGATGAATACCATGATCAAGATTCTACGGAATGGATAATCACTACATTTGATTACCCATGTATCGAAAGAATGCAGATATTCGTATATTGGAAGTGTTAGAAATTGTCACAAGAGACTTGAGGCTTATGAACGGTTCTCTCTTTCTGGGTTACCTACTATTAGAAAAAAATACCTTTAGACGACATTCGGTAACAATTCTTATCAATTTGAAATTCCTACAAGCCCTTATAGTTAAAAAGAACCTACAGACCTTCAAATATGCTTAAAATACCCTTAGGACACTTAATAAACACTCAGTACAATTAATAGAACCCTAACCAAAATTTGTAAAAATCCAATCTCTACATATCAAAACAGTAGCTAATAGATTCTTAACACCTAAAGTTTAAGCCTTTTTTCTCATACTTAGAAGATAAACCAAACTTTCATGTAAAATGAAAGTTGTAGATATAGCTCTTAGGATTTAAAAAAAACTGGATTCACATAATTTGGAGCTCTGGTATAATTAATACATAATTTACACTAACAGAGTGAAATTTCGAAGCTACAGAACAGGGCTGGGAAAACCAATGTTTTCGAGTTGCTTAAACTCAAAACTAGGTTTTGTTGTAAACTTGTAGTACACTCATATATCTTTTTGTTCATATAAATAATATCTCATTTGGACAAATGGTTGATTTTATACGAATTTTCAAACTTACTAAATTGAATCTGTCACTTCCAACAACACTGATCTTGAAAAAATTCCATCTCAAATCATCAATCTTTCACCTATATTCATGAATACACTTAGGGTTTAACCCATTTTCCCCAAAGAAGAAGAAATCACAAAAAAGGTCAAACCATAAACATACCTTATTTTGAGTCCAAATTCCAAATATAACTTACAATCTTAAAGATCTTGGAATTCCACAAGAGATTTGAGGTTTATAGATGAATTTTAGGGTTTCTAGAGAGGAGGAGAAAACCATATGAATCTTAAGAGAAAATCTGATTTTGGGTTAAAAAAATAATAATTTCATATTTATATTTACAATATTTACCATCTAACCCTTGATCTCAAACTTATTCTCAAATTAACCCTACTTTAGTAATTCCTTTACAATTTGGTCCTAACCAAGATTGTTTCAACCAACAATGGAACTTAAAAAAATATAAAATGAAGTTGCCTTAATGAACAACTTTTGAATACTAAGATATAATTCAACAAAGCACGATTTTAAAAATTGAACATAATTGAGTTTTCGGCTATAAGATTAGATTTTCTAAATACAGGGTATTATATTATAATCATTAAGTTGTAATAAATATAATAATAAAATGTTTATTTATATTAAAATATGTTAAGGGTGGACCCCTTATGCAATAAGCACCAACAATGCTAAACCACCTACCGTCGTTACATGGAAGGGGTCACATCATCAAATTTGAAATTTTTTTGCAAAAAAAACCCCCACGCACCATGCAATATGTATGTAGTGCTAAATGGGGGTGAGGGCATTTTTTGAAATATGATTTTTATAGGTTATTTTTGTAATTTGAACTTTTTGGAGGATTAATTTAGTCAAGATCCCTAAATGTAAAGAGTCCGTATAATTTTAGCTATCTTTGTTAAAATCTTTCTTTTATCTTATTTATTGCAAATCTATTTTTATTTTCGTTGAAAGAAAAAAAACAAGTACAGAAAAGAAAATAATGCACAATGTTCGCAAAAAATAGTATCATCCGAAGGTAAACAGATAACAAAACCGAAGAAACAAGCAAAATTAAAAGGCAACAAGAAAACAACCAACAAAATCCCAACGCCTACACTACTGATAGAGACTTGAGGCGAGCCTCGGAAAGCATCAACACATACAACCCCGAAAAATATCATAAAATTGAAACAAGTCTGTCGAGAAAACAAAAAGATACAGCCTCGAACATGCTTACCCATCAAACGCTTGCCTTCCACACCGCTTCAGCCAAGAGAAAGAGAAGTCCTCACAATGCATCGAGATTCACTTATACTATAAGAGTTGAATGTCAAAAATGATCGATAGAAATGTTGTCTTTCGGTAGAAAACCAAAGAGTTATGGAAGCGCCAAATTAAGTATAAAGCAATCCAAATAATCCTCTTCCAAATAGATATTTGCTTTATTGCAATAGATTGAGAATCCACACCCGGAAACAATTCCTTGAGCGAAAAGGAAGCCGAATAGGTATATCCCTACCAATGAAAAATATCCTTCCATACCTGAAGAACTAACAAGCACTTGACAAAATGATGGTCCATGGCCTTAATGTCAAGGCCATAACATGGGCAAAGTAAGGAAGGAATATCCAGATCTTTGTCGCTCAAAGTAGTCCTTACCCAAATCCTTCCCTAATTAAGTCGCCACATGAAGATGCACATGATTTTTGGTACTAACGCACTCCATTGAGTTGAGATCAAAAGAGCCGAAACCTTCAAAAGATTAACTTCGATCAAGGACTGAAGTCCTTTACTGAAAATGCATCATCCTTGCTAAGCCACCAAGCCAACTATTTTTCTTAATACAACATAGGGAGGTATTAGAAAGAAGAGACTTAATCTCTCGAACTCCCCCTCATTAAGTCTCTCTCTAAGCGTCCTAGACTAACCCCACGACCCATTCCAAGCACTATTACACCATGACACTTGATCCTTCACCAAGACCTCTGATTCTCTATCTAGTCTAAGTAAGCAAGGAAACTCCCATTAAGTCTAAAATTACATTTCTCAGACAAAACTGAGTATTATCGTCGTCACCACCCTTTTCTTGAAAGACTCTGAGAAAGGGACCCCACTTCTAAAATGTTTTTGTTATTTGTATTTTGGTTTCAATTTCTTCCTCTTTTTTAACAAGTACAACGGTAGTACTTCTTATGTACATTTTGTTCATTTCTTTATTATAAAATAGTTCTTATTGTACAAGTGTATAAAGTATATGTATAATCAATAGAAGGCATGTGATGAGGTATTTCAAAAAAAGGAAAAAAAAACAAAACTAAGCCCGAAAATACCCCCCCATAAAGTCAAACCCATTGCTGCAACTCCCCTTCTTCCTCAATGCCCTTCTTTCACTGGATCCCTTTTTTTTCTTGCATGTTTCTCCTCCTAAACCAACACCACCACTTGCATCTCCATCGCCATTTCTTCTTTTTTCATCCTGCTCTACTTCTACTTCTATAATCGATGTTTTTGTTACTACCAAAGTGTTTTACGACCATCATTGTTTTTGTTTATGTGTGTATGTTGAATCAGTGATAAAGCTATTAGTGGGAAATTTAAGTACATGATTAACCGATATCATCTAAAGGCATTAGTGGGCCTCAACCAATTGACAGAGCTACAAACAACTAACAACCCCTCCTAACAGTGTCAAGTACTAAATTTTGTTCAACGAATGATTTTTTTTTCAACAAACAAAAATACTCTGTCAGAAAAAGTAAAGTTGAAAAAA